GAAATTTTCAACAATATCAATGAATTTGTTGTCATACTACCAACCGTAATTTTTCTTCAGCCTGCCACCTTTTATAAATACAACAATTTTAGTTTTATCCACGTTAACTTTAGGTTTCAACTTTGCTGTATATTGCTCTAAACAATTAAGCATATCTTAAAATATATATCTTGATAGTTCTGAAATATAAATGCCGAAGTTTAACTGTTCAAAAATATGACCAAAGTTAAAGTTAAGTTTTGTAAAAGTGGGTCAAACTCCAAGGTCAAGTGGTCAGACTTGGTGGTACCCAAAGAAAGGTCTTGTCACAAGAAAATATACCTGTAAAATATGAAAGGTATAGTCCTGCACATTCAAAAATTATGACCAAGGTTAAAGTTTTTGCGGACAAACAGACAGCTAGATAGACAGACAGGCCAAAAAAATATATACCCCAGAATCTTCAATTACGGGGACATAATGAAAATTCACTCAAGAGATTGATATATCAGAAGGATGTTAAGAGTTCTTCATAAAAAGAATTCATCTTTGAAAACTGGGTCTTCAAAACCTGTTTTTATCTAACCTGTGCTGAAAGTTGAAGTGAAGTTTTGTGATCACCTCTTGTCCGTGCATCTGTCTGTAAACTTTTTACATTTTCAAGTTCTTCTTGGTAGTATAGATTCTAAATTGTTCAATTCATGGCCCTTGGGGTAGGACAATAGAGAATCCAAGTAAAACATTGAAATGTATGGGAAAATCTTTTAAAAATTGTCCTTTCAAAAATCATTGGGTCAGAAAGGCTGAAACTTATATGTTGAAGCATCCTGGGTTAGTGTACATTCTATATTGTCCAAATCATGACTACCGGGCATAGGATGGGGTTACAATAGTATTACAATGGGGGAATCTTGTGAATAAAAGCATGTTTAAAGTTACTTAGGTGAGTGTTGTGGCACATGAGCCTTTTGTTTTTATATTCTATGAGCAGAATTTATTTTAAAAAAAAAAGGTTACACAAGAAAATGTTGTGGCCTTCAGCTTGTTCAGAAACATGTATTGTATATTGCCAATGTTTCATTAATTTGAAAATGTTTACTTCAGTTCATTTGTTGCCTCTTCGCCTGTATAAGGTTTTGTGTCTCCCACACTCAAGAGAATGCTCTAACTTGCCTCTAAGTATGAACATTTTTATAAAGTGACTCAGACTCCTGACAATTAAGTTGATGTTACAGGGATTTTGTCAAATTCTATTCCTCATGATGCCCTCGCTGGCAAATACACACTTAATGGGTCATATAATTAATTGACGTGTTAAGTCGTTGCTCTTTTGAATACGGATTAGTCAATCTTTCTGATCAACAACATGATGAGTTTGACAGTGGACGACAGGGGTTGCTTGTTCATTCTTGGGACTTGATCCTGCCTCTGGGGTTTCCAGGGGTCTGTGTTGTCATGTCGTGTTCACAGATTTCTATTGGACCATCTTTAAAAAATTGTTTGGTTGCTCTCTTTTGATTCACTCTGAAAATGTTGGGTCAATATGTGATGAGAATTTTTTTTTCTCATATAAAATTTCAATTTTTTTTTTAAATCTATTTTCCACACTACATAAAAAATTAATTGCTTCTTGCAGGTTTAAAACGCTTTTGGGTCAAGCCATTTTAGCCATTCTGTCGAGAGAGGGTAACCAAATAATTTTTTAAAGATTTTATTTCTTTTTTTTTTGTAGATAGATCGCTGTTTGATTACTTCATCCATTTCATAATGATGTTTTCTCATTCAAACTGGGTCCCTAAAATAAGTTTGGTCTAAGCACCCATGATCACACAGAGAGAGAAACTTATTAAATGGTTCAGTTTTCAGTTTTTTAGTGGTTATACTTTGATATTCATCACCAATTTTCAAGCTTCTCAGTTACACTGAGTATAGTTAGAACTTGGGAGTAAATTCTACCTCCAAACTTCAAGATATTTGGGCATTACATACTGGACAAAGAGACTCCAATAAGCTTGAATCTTTGCTTGCCAAAATAGTCTGCATTTGGTATACTGTCATTCTATTCCATTTTAAAGTAGTTAATTCAGCTAAATTTAGTCCAATTTACACTCAGGCAATATTATAGCTTTCCAAATGACATAGAATTTATTCGTCCTAATGAATTTCCCAGACAAAATATGTGTTAAATGCACACCTCCTTTCAATAATGACTATTCTTCTCAACAACTAAGTTTCCTGGGTCATTTTTTTCAAGAAGTTCTTTATGATAAAGACAAAAGAATTTTCATGCTTTGTATTGCCCTTTCCAAAAATAAGAAAAGAAAGCATTTTGAAACAGTAAAATTGATCAAGGCCTTTTTGGATTTGCCTTTTTCCATCATAAAAGAAAATGTGTAAAATGTTTTAGGTATGTGTTATCTGACCATTTCTCATCATTCATACTTTACGGTGAGTATTGCCTACTCTCTCGGACTTATAAGGAGATGAAAGTAATATTCATAATTGTAACAATTTAATTGTATTCCATCTTGCATACAATGTATAAATAAACATGATGTCTCACAAAAACATTACAACTTAATATATATATATTTATCTTTACACCATTTTATCTGGTGCATAATCAAAATATTTACTCATTAAATGTTATCCATTTACAATTTTCACCTGATTCATCAAAATCGTATTATTTCAATCCTTTAAATACTTCATATAAAAGAAAACTCTTTTCTGTCTCTCTGTCTGTCTCTGTCTCTCTGTTTGTCCGCAAAAACAAAAACAAGCATACTGGATAAATGATTGATAACGGCAATTCATAAGTATCAATTTTAATGAATATTAAAATGCATGAAGTCTTTCATAAAAAAAAAAAAAAGCAATCGATATTTACTTTTATATCGTTTATATGTAATCCTTGAAATTCGTTCTTCCCTTTGACAAAAAAAGAAATAAATAATTCTCTATCATGCAGTGAGAACAAAATAAAAATGGCACAAATTATAGGAACAACATTTCTACCATCCAAGTCAGAAATTCTCTCCTTTCAGCATTTAGAAAAATGTATGGTAGCACCTTGCTATGGACAAAGATATTTTTTAGATCCGTAATTTTTGCCTGAGATATTGGTTTATGCAACGAGTAAAAAATGAAAAAAACTTTTTTCAAAAACAACCAATCAAAGGAGGAAAAACTATTTTACTCTGGCATTTTAGTTACTTGGAAGAAACCTGCACCAAAAACTTTACTTTTCAAAATAGAACACACTTTCACTTATCTGCGTATCTAGGTTTCAGGAGAGCAAAAACCTTACAAAATGAAAGTAACATATTCTAGACAAACAAGAGCGAGAAAAATCATTTTCCTTGTCCTAAATTGCATACAGCAGACACACTAGAAAAATGTATCTTACACAGAAGTTGAAATATTATAAAACACCAAAATTTAATAAGCTCCCCCATGGGTAAGTACCTCCATATTAGATTGGTATAAACACTGCACTATTGTTTTAAAACCTTAGTGATACAATACAAAGCAATTAAGTTCTACTCTGCTACATGCTTTCATTTTACAATTGCACATTTCCCTGAAAAATTCATGTTTGATAATTACTACACATTTAATTAATGTATAGAAAATGGGCATTTTGTCCTCCGATATGCAACAAATATTTTGTGATTTTCTTTTCACTTGATTTGAATGAATGAGTTCACAAAATGTAGGTTTGAATGTAAGTAATATTCATAATTGTAACAATAATATGTATCACATGATGTACAAAAACATTTTTATATATATTTATCTTTACACCATTTTATCTGGAACAAAATATTTACTGTTAAATTTTATCACACATTCAAACATCCAAATACTTCATATAAAAGAAAACTCTTTTCAAAAACAAGCATACTGGATAAATGATTGATAATGGCAATTCATAAGTATCAATTAAGAATATTAAAATGCACTAAGTCTTTCATAAAAAAAAAAAGCAACCGATATTTACTTTTATATCGTTCATGAAACTCTTTCTTCCTGACAAAAAAATGAAATAAATAATTCTCTATCATGCAGTGAGAACAAAATAAAAATGGCACAAATTATAGGAACATAATCATGAAATTCTCTCCTTTCAGCATTTAAAAAATGATTAGCACCTTATGGACAAAATGATCAATTTTTGCCTGATTTAAAAAAAAAAAAAAAACTTTTTTTAAAAAAAACAACCAATCACAGACAAAAATAATTTCTGTTTTAACAAAGCTTCTCCTTTTCAACACACTTTCACTTATCTGTATTTTCAGAAAAAAACCTTACAAAATGAAAGTAACATATTCTAGAACACAAAAAAATCATTTTTCTTGACAAAATACAGGAGAAAAATGTATACTTGAAACATTATAAAACTCCAAAATTTAATATGGGTAAGTACCTCCATATTAGATTGGTATAAACACTGCACTATTGTTTTAAAACCTTATGATACAATACAAAGCAATTAATATCACATGCTTTCATTTTACAATTGCACATTTCCCTGAAAAATTCATGTTTGACTACTTTAATTAATGTATAGAAAATGGGCTCATCACAAATATCTTTTCACTTGATTTGAATGAATGAGTTCACAAAATGTAGGTTTGAATGTAAGTACAAGTAAAATAATAATAATATGTATCACTGGTATTTTTGGAACCTGTCACACACTCAACTGTTTTCCCAATCAATATAAATACTTTTTTTTTTTAATCATGATGAAAAATTTTATTCCTGTTTAAAAAAAAAAAATTAAACTTAGACTTTTGCATAAGTGTATTGAAACTTGAAGAACACAAAATATGACATCAGGAGAGTTACTATTAACCTCATCAATAGCATCATTTTCATGATTACACAGCACTTAATATCAACCAACTTCTACAATACTCTTATATATGATCTCAAATATGTCTTTTTAAATCTTTAAAAAAGGATTTTTTTTTTTTTTTTTTTTTACATTTTAGTCATGTTTATCTCATTTGGAAAAATGTTCACAATTTTTCACCTTCAGCACACCTTGTGAAAATATCTTTTTAAAAAGTACTTAAAAAAAGTTCACATTATTAATTATGCACACATTTTACAAGATATTTGAACTTTCTCTGTCAATCACATTTAAAATATCATTAACATATATAATCTATCCTGCTTCTTCTCACATTAAAATCTCCACTTCAAGCTCTCACTCTTCACTTCTCTATAAAATGAAAGCCCACAAACTAAATCAAGTAAATTCTCTTTAATTAATTTAACAAATGAAATAAGTTAACCAGCTTAAAATCTTTACATTAAAAAAAAGAGAGGTAGAGAGAAAAGTTTATCGTCGTTATCCTTCAATAACGAGTCATCCGATTTCTCTCAAGGTTTGCTGCTCAGCAGCAATATAAAATGTTTCCTGGAATGAGCAAGAAAACACAGCTCTAGTGTAAAGCACAATTCTTTCCCCGGCGTCTTCTACACATCCAATGAACTCAGGCCTTGTACGCATGCTTGGAAGAATAGCTGTAGTGTTGGTGGTAGCGATGATCATCATTACGATAGCCCTGGTGATGAGTATTGCCATTGTGTCCACCGAAGGAGTGAGAGCCATTCAATCCACCCTTGAACTGAAATAATAATTCAAATTTCATAAGTTAAATTCAATCACAAAGATTTAAAAGAGTACCCCCCTTGCTAATTTAAATTTTTAAATGTCAGGGATACCTATTGTTTACATTTAAGAGAAATAAAAATATATGGGACTGATATCGTTAACAAAGCTTAATTCTGGGCCATTATCTTTGCAGTTAATATCATGATGACTTACTTTATTGCTGTCATAGTTGCGGTGGTCTTGGTATTTCTGGAAGGGATTGTATCCTGAGTGGACGTTGTAGTCAGAATGGTTTTTCTTGATTTTCTTGGTTTTGCATTGATCCAACTCTTCATCATAATCATCCGACCAGTGCCGCTTGCGATCTTTTTTCTCGCTCTCAACCTCAGCATCCAGAGTACTCTTTCCACCTTCCCATGAGTTCACTAGAAAAAATTTAAAATGTTGCTGAACATTCAGAAATTTCAGACCTACTTTTGGAAAAAGGAAAATCTGAATAGACAGTAGCTTTCACCAAAATACAAAGCAGCGTCTGTTACCTACTGCGGTATCAATATAACCACTGTTAAGTTTGTGTACCTGAGGATCCATAGCCTACAGCTGAGGACTGTCTCTCTAGTTCCTCTGCCACCTTGGATGACCGGCTACCATCCCATGTGCTGTAAGATTTGCTATCGCCAAAAGTGCTCTTGGACTTTTTGAAACCATCCTTGACATGGTGATCCCAGGACTGCACCAGAACTGTTTTAATAAAAACAACACATTATAAAATCCTAAACTCAATCCTAGTCAATAAAATGAAAGAATATATGTAAAATTTCAATAAATTTGAATTATAGATATACATATGAATAAATATATGACTCTAACCACTGCTGTCTGATTTGGTCTGCCTGATGGTATCCTTTGTTTTCTCCACCCACACATAGGAATCCTCATCCAAGCGCTTTTTCTTTTCCTTCCCAGAATCCTCATCAGCATCATCATGAGATCTCTTGTGTTTTTTGCTGCGCCTTTCCTCCTCGGAGTCGTCTGAGTGCTTGGAGTGCTTGTGCTCTTTCTTGTGCTTGTGCTTCTTTTTCTTGTGCTTTTTGCTGTGACCTTCCAGACTAGAGGTGCTCTCATTGACCAGCTGCTCATACTTGACATCCTTGTGCTCCTTTTTGTGCTTCTTATGCTTCTTGCGTTTTTTGGTGGACACTCTCTCCTCCATGTCAACGTCTGCCAACAGTGGTTGATTCTCAGACATGGCTACGCTCTTGCTTTGGAAGAAAGAATTTGAATTGTCTTTCCACTGGTTAACGACAGAGTCATGGTTGCTGTGACTGTCCTCCTTCTTTGCTGCAAAGAGTTTTTTCACTTGTGCTGACAAGGAACTATCAGAAGCCTCCTGTTTGGGTTCACTTTCCTTGGAGATCTTCCACCCTGGGTGCTGTCTGTCGGGCACCTTGTCGAAATTGGGAGCCTCGGATTTCTCTTTGATGTCCCAGCCAGATGTAGAGTTAACACTTTCCCGGCTGGAGTTTGAGACCACTGAGGGACTAGGATCACAGTCTTGGCTCAGCACATGCCAGTTGGAGGTAGCCTTCACTTTTCCTCCACTGCTGTCACTAACGCACTGAATTCCATTGTCATCACTGTAGGTCTTTGAAGCCTTGTGCTCCTTGGCCTTATTCACCATCAGATTAAGTTCATCAATCCTCCTGTTGGCAGCTTCATGGATATCCCCCTTCTGCTTCAATGTGGTTTCCAGCAGATGAGTATTTCCTGGCACTGATGTGGTGGCATTCAGTTTTTCATCGAACACTACGTGGTCTTGCACATGATTTTTTCCGTTGACACGAGGGGACTTCTTCCCTCTGTTCACTGCAGCCGAGTCGTCATCAGACTCGGAGTCATCACCATATGGCACGAGTCTTGAACTCACTTTGTCTCCATTAGCAATTTTGGATTTGCCGTTCCGAGACTCTTCCCAGGCTGACACTTGTCCATGTGTAATTTTCACAATGATTCTTTTGTCCTTAGGTTCCTCTGGATTCAGACTGGGTGTTTTGGTCAGACCAAACGCAATCTTGTCCCTTTTCTCTGGCAATAGTGAGGCTGCTGATACGTATTTAGGCTCCGTCTTGGAAGGGGTAGGTCCAGAAACAGAGGGCACGGAAGTACTTCTGGCAATGGTAACACCAGTGTCTGTGCTAGGGTACTCTACAACAAAAGAATTAAATTTTACTTCTAGTTCTTTTCAAGATCAGTTACAAATAATCTTTTCTTCTTGATATATTAATTGAAAAATTAGCATCAAATTATTTGTTATTACTTACTTGTTAATCCATTCAGAGGTTTGAACTTGTTTTTGTTGTCTACATGGTTTGCCTGGTTTGCCATTGTGATGGTGTGGGTGGGCTACAAATTAAATAATTTATTATCAGAAAAGACAAAATAACTTCATTGACATTTAAAAAATGTATGTTTAGAATGCACACATTCCACATTTGAACATCTGAGTAAAACAGATTTCCAAACTGACTTTCGACAGCTTTAAGTCTTACCTTAGATGTACTGTATTCACTACGAACTTTGGTGTAAAAGAGGACATAAGCTTCAGCACCTAAAACTCGACTAGCACTGACTTGCTGTACCTGAAAGTTAAGAAATAATTCAAATTCCTTTTTGTTCTCAAGTAAACATTTTTCTTTTGAACTTTGTACCATCCAACTTTACTTTAGCTTCTGAAAAACATCTCTTGACTTATCTATTGATTTTAACCTTCTTTTTATCTTTTTATCTTACATAAGATACATAAAGTTATAAAGTTTTATCTGTTTTCTGTACTCACATTGGCATCATTCATGCAGTACCAGACCCCATTGGAGGACTTGACGTAGCAGTAGTAATGTCCTGAGTTTGCCGTGTACCCAGAATGTACAAGGACAGCGTTCAAATTGAGCAGTATCGCATCACCCTGCAAAACAAACACAAATGTTTCTCCAGATAAGTCTAATAACACACCTACATTATTTCTATATTGTCGATTTAAGGCGAGAAAGATTCCCTGATTACTAATTAAAAATTACTAAATTAATGAGCTTTTTAAAGAATAATTCAGGGTTTGATACATACATGTACATTTCAAGAACAATTCTCTTACAAAACTTTAGTAATTAAACTGAAAATATTTTAATAACTGAATACCGTACCTGTTTTGCACTCATATAAGGCCTCAAATTCAGCTTTTCTGGAAAGTGCACATGTCTGCCAATTTTTCCCTGTACCATTTTACTGTAGTCAAATCTAAAATGACCAAAGAAACATATTCGTTAAGGTTATCCCTTTCAGCATGTTTTAGAATACTTGTGTTTTTCTATTCTAAATACAGTTATTTTAACATTTAAAACTAATATATAATTACTTAACTAACTTATAAACTAAGAAATGTTAAACTTAACTCTAAATAATACATGATGATATGAGTCTTAAGTTAGGTTATATAAAATTATATAAATAACTACCTCTAAATTACATCAGCAACTTAATTAACTTAATACAAAAATCTAAAGCATTTACAAAGAATAAGCCATTTAATATGCTCATTATACAATTACTTAACTAAACATGTATATTTATCAATAAATTTCTTTAACTATTTGATGATAGATAACTGATAGCATCTGAACAAGGTGAAGACAAACGTATACTGCTTTCCCCAGTATAAGTTCACCACTATATACGTTTATTGAATCATTTGTTTTTTCATTGTTCAAATGCACCAGTGATCTATATAAAATTACGTTGCAGTTGTACTGCGTCTTGTTTGTCGCAATCCATAGCCACAGTCGAATTCACTCATCTCTGTGTTTCTAGAGGAAAACAAAACAAGGTACATGTACATATGCTCCTCACAATCATATGCCTCACACTCACACACACATTTCTTATACAACAAGACAGAAAAATACAATGTATAAAGCTATTTTTTCAAAACAGAAATTAACACTGGGCCTCTGTTTTCAAAAAAATCTATACTTGGAAAATCACTAACATACTGGTTCTTCTCCCCATCTTCTTTTGATTATTAGAATTACCCGGTACAACAGAAAAATGTATACAATGATTACAATCACAAAATATTACTTCCTTATCTCCTCCAAGTTACATCATACAACTTAATACAATGGAGAAAAAAAAACACCTTTCCTCCCACATATTATACAGTTTTTCTACACTTATTACATTGAATATTTTACAAAAAAGCCATTTCATAAACTGCTACTTAAAGCTAAAGGACATCAAAAATACAAAAATTTCAAGTCTAACATATCTAATGATATACACGTACAATAAAAAATAAGAAATTAAAACTTGTTTGCATCTGGCTGTGCATTGTCAGTGTATTATTTTCAGTCAGTATTTCAAAATTTATAGCTCATAACTCCTTTGACTTTCCTCAAACTATACATCATTGAAATAAATGTCTAAGACAATGTTTAAAAATTAAGAAAAATCATACATGTATATAATACAAGACAAATAAATAACAGAGTTTTAAAATTTTTGCTTTGGCTTCTAATTAACTTTAAATTATTCCTAAAAAATATTAACATTCACCAATTGACTCTCATTAGGTGCACAGAGTTCTAACCAAGCAAGTTTTACTTTACAATGTGTTTCAACTATTCAGGTCTCAATTAACATTTAACTTCTCATGTTTAACTTGACAAGATTAAATCTAAGCTACTGTCAGTACAATATAAACAAAGCTACATGTACCGATATCCTTATTTTTACAATGCAAAAATCTATTCCTAAAAGTTACATTGAAACAAATGTTGTAGACACTATACAGGTCATGGAAAAAATGTCAGAGACAATGTATAAAAGTTATGAAAAACTTGAATCTACACTACCTCAGGATGATACCACATAAGTTTCATTTTTCCTGGCCCAGTGGTTCTTGAGAAGAAGATTTATAAAGATTTTTCCTATATATACAAAATGTATATAATACAAGACAAATAAATAAAAGAGTTATAAAATTTTTGCTTTGGCTTCTAATTAACTTTCATAAAATATCCTCGCAAAAAATATTTACATTCATCAATTGAAGGTACTGAACTATAGCAGATCAAGTTTACGACAACGACAACGCCGACAACGACGACGACGACGACAACGCCGACAACGACAACGACAACGGACATTATAAATCGGAAAGCAATTTTTTGGTTGTAATTTTTCCTTTCTATCTTCATACAAAAGAATGAAATCCTACCTTTTCAGAGAGATGGTTAAAACGTTTGGAGCTTTGTGAATGGAAAATCTTTTCAATGCAGGAACTTTTTGTTTACATCTGAAAACAACAGTCAAAACCATGTCAATACCAGTCCATCTTTCTCAAAGTACTTTCAAATTTACTGTCATTCTACTTTCACTTTGTAATATACTTTACCTATTGCACATGTATGCATTGTCACAATCCAGCTTTTCTGGCTGTACATACTTTTCAAATGCCTTTTCAAGACTTGGCACTGTCTGTAAATACACACAGTTATTTGTGAAAATAAATTCATTTTGGTACCTATAGACAACTGCAAAATCAGAATTACTTTGCTGGAAAAGTTATGAGAATAAAAGTACCTTTATGTCTAAACTAAGGTCCATAAATGGGTCATATGTGTTTGATTTTTCTTTGCATCGCAGACATTGAACTGAAAAGGAAGAAAAACAACAAACATGTAATTACAATTCAAACAAATCTATAAACATGTGAAACAGAGGTTTGGCAAACGACTTGTTTTGATGATTGTTTTACTTGTTGCAGAATACACTTTTTTCTTTTCAATGACATAACTCACCTTGACTTCTGAGATATCCTCCAAAGATTTGGTTAACCACTGTTGTCTCTTTGCTGAATTTGTCCAGCCTAGAAAGACAATGAATAAACCATTAACATTTACATTGTGTTGTACTGATTTCCTATCAAATGCCCTCATCATTTGTCAGATATTAGCAATTACCAAAGGCCTAACTGCTATATAAACATTCTTACTTACTTTGTGTAACCATTTAGAGTGGACCTCTGCATAGAATCTACCACATATCTCAGGAATTCATGAGCATCTTCCTGCCTACCCCAGTGCATGTGCTTTGCTATCACTGCAATTTTTATGGTCAAAATGTTAATTTTTCGATTAAGTGGAGAACCCCTACAATTGAAACTTTGCTTGCATTTTTGATGTGTAAGAAACTTACATTTCAACTTCTGTAGGATTGCCTGAGGTTTTATATTTGATCCAGAATTCTCATAGCATCTTCTAATGTGACGCTGAAGTTCACACATCATGCAAAACCCTGGCTGTTTGCCTGTTAGTAGAATGAATATATATTATTCCCTTACAAGAGGAATGCTTAATATTCTATAAATCGTTTTGTCATTTTGGGAAATTGAGATGCATCATACACCATGTTTGTATTTTGCTCTTCAATACAAAATTAGCTATCTTTCTATTAAAAAACATAATATTTCCTCTATTAAATCAAACTTTGCCATTGACCATGCTTGAATATTTCGCTTTCAGTACTTGTATAATATCAGATTCACTTACATGATTGGCTGTGCTCCCCACTCAAGCAGTAATTGACTAGAGGTGCAGTGTAAGTTAGACACTGAAGGGTGGAATTCAGAAAACAGGTATTTCCCATGTTGATCAGTCCTGAGCCGATCTTGTGCACCTTTCTCCATTGTAGTTTAATCTTATCCTCAGGATACAACACAATCTTCGGACTAGGCAAACTTTCACCACTACTACTCTCAGTTACACTATTTCCATTTGTGTTCATGTTTGCCTCTGCAGTATAGAAAAAAATCTAATCAGTATCAAGTCTCTTCACATTTTAGAGTTAGTAACAGAATTCCTTTTGAAAATGGAATATATAACAATTATGTTCAAAAACCACAAACTTGTTCAACATGTTCAATAGTTAAATAATCATGACAACAATGTCTCTAAAGCCAGCATAATATAATATCTTATATACTCTATTCACCACAGAAGACTACATACCAAAGTGAAGTTCATGATCAGATCCAACTTTTTTCAAGGAGTTCAATGGAACGTACTTCGCTCTCAAATTCTCTTGCTGTATACTGTATGGTTGTCCAGCAGGCTGGAAGCCTATATGGGACAATAAAATCTTCTTTGAGGAAGAGGCAATTTGGCTATCAATTGTTCCCTTAAAATTGAGGGAAGACTTTAAAGTCTCCTCAATATGAAAAACGTTGTCAGCTGAATTTGCAGGCATAGCATTAATTTTCTGTGGATGAAAGAGATTTAAGTTACACCGTACACTAAACCTTATCACTAAATTCTAAAAAATGAAGCTGATTTTAAGCATTTAAATCTCTGCTCTAATGTGCACTATACAAGAACAAGCTTCAGTGCATGCTACGGAAATTCTAACGGAGATGAAATGTTTACAATCTTAAAAGAGAGTATGTTTCATTAAATGTCGTTGATGTTATGGCATACTTTGGCAGAAAAAATAAAACAAAAAGCTTAAAAATTTGGGAACCACACAAACTACCCTGTTATTCTCTACAGAAGTACGTAAAATCACATGGCGATTGGGAATGCACCGGGGGTCTCTAATCACACGGGTCAAACAGCTGAGAACAGACTATGAGTGACATGTTTTGGGGTCATTTACAGAAACTACTATAAACCAAGATATTTTCAGTCAATTTACAAAGGCATAACTGTACTAAATAAGACAAAACAATACGTTACCTCTCTCAACACGATGGCCAACAACACAGCTTCGAATGCAATATCCGGGCATTTCTGATTGTTCAATCAATTGTCTTGCGCGAACTTTATTTCCGGTGCTAAGTATGGCGTGACTATTTGCCGAAAAGGCAACGGCATCGGGAATGTCTATTTTTCATAGCAACCGCATATAAATTAAATAGAAAAAAGACCCGGTTTTTTTTTATATTACTGGTCACATTGAATAAGATTAAAAGAAATGTTTGATTGTCATCAAAGGTGATATTTGTAGAAATGATATGGGAAAAAAGCATTAAACTGAATTTATAGTCGGGTATTTCATGATCATCTGATATCCACACAGAATCCTTGCAGTTAATTTTTTCAAATAAATCAAAGCAACAAAGTAGAATTGATAATTGTTACACAAGATTGAAATATCTTTAAGTTCATCATTTCTACTTTTGATTTAATTTACCCCCCCCCCCCACTTCGAAAGTTGCATAAAACCTAGAAAGACATATATTCCTGCCATCTTCTGCCGAATCGGAATGAAATCTAAAATATTTCCAAATATTTTTATGGTGAAAATTAAATGTTATTTAATTTATGATCGGATGATAAAATATTTATATATTTTTCAACTGCATAACATTTCATACGTATGCATTTTAAATTGAATTCATCAAATCTAAGCTATTAATTTCACCAAAATCTCTTGTGATGAATGAATGCTCAAGGGATGAGTTTCTGATAGCAATAATGCACGGGTGCATTCGTTATTTTTATTATATTTCTTCTCAAGCTACCCCAACCAACACTTAGGCGTAGTTTGATTTTGCTTCTTTTAATATCTTTTTGGATTCACCCCCACCCCTTTAAAAAAAAAAAAAAAAAAAAAGGATTTTGGTTCTTCAAGTTGGTCCTCTACTTGATGTTCAAAAAGGTGTATACATTTTTTTCTATGTAGCTCATGTTTTTAATTTTTATCTCAAAATAAATCATCAGGTTATTTTACTGTAGCAATATATTTTAGCCATACATATATAGCGACAAACAAAAAATAAGGGGGGGGGGGGGGGGGGGGGGGGGAAAAAAAAAGACGATTTTGGAAAATTCACACGTCCCTTTTCAAGCATCGTAAATATATTACGGTATGTGAAAAAAGGGATGTAGTTGGGTTGACCATTTGGAAATCTACGAATTATAATACAATACCAGTAGATTCTTTTCTAAGTAATATATTTTGGATTTTTCCGTTTTTTCCCTTCTCTCTCGATTTTTTGCAAAACTTTTGAAATAGCAGCAAATTGACCGAGAAGAATTTAAAAAGACGCTGTTACATGCTAATTGTGCGTGTTGAGAGGACATCTATGTGTGTCAGGTATTATAAAAATTTGTGTATGATCAATATTAGAAAAATCCCTGCAGAGAGACAGGGTTTAAATATGGAAAAATTATCCGATAGAATGGCCGCTAGGGGATGAAGATTGCATCTTTTACCCCCTCAGTGTGTATTTACAATATTTTTTTCATCTTGTACAACAAAAGAATATTTTCTGTAAAAGAACTCGAGGGTCATAAAAAAGAAAATCAAGAGAGGGGGAAAGAAAGAGAGCGACTTTGCTAATTCTCGAGAAAACTAAGCACAAGATGAATTGATAAAACAATTAATGACGCAACCTGAAATCGTTTCTAGAACTTCTGAACGACCAGTCGCGGCAGCCCATTTAAAGAAGACCAAGAACAACATAATTTATTTATAATATAAATTCTTGTTCTCGTTTTCATCGTATCTTTTCGTTATATAGCACACGATTAATTAACAATTACCAATTTCTACAGCAGCAATGAAATTAAGGTGACAAGGAGAAGAAACGTAGTATAAGTGTTGCACTGTCACGAACGGGCCAGGAAACTTCAAAGACAAATCGGAAAACGGCTCAATTACGACAATTTGAGTGATCAATGCATAATGTAAGCACATTTCCTATGTTTTGAGGTAGGGCTGTCGTGTGGGTTTCTGAGCGCCAGTACAGAAGAAAAATTTCAAGACATTATGACGACGATAAAATGATAGACTTAAGGAGCAACTCAATTATTTTCAGGATTTTTGTATTTTTCTGGTTTGGTAAGTAAAGAAAAAATTAGAAAAGAATTTATTAATTTGAAATTATAATTTTTTTTTTTTGCATTTGAATAAATAAATAAAATGAACAAAAAATAAGGTATTATTATTAACAAATACATAAATGATACGTAATTAACATGTAAAATTTTGCAATTACAAATTTACTTTCACCCAGTAAATTTGAAATTTATACCTTGACGATATTTCCGCTAAAAATGAATGTACATGGGAAGGTCTAATAATGTGATATACATATAAACATATAAAATAAAATGACATTTAATTTCAATGTTTTCAGAAATCTTTTCTAGTCTTGATTTGAAGGGAATTGTTAATAGGTAATATATATGAAAAAATTAAATTCATTTTGGGAGAAAACCTCAAGTCATATACAACAGAAAACCATTTATATTTAATATTAAATCACAAGTAACGAAAATTCCTCGATTTATTTATTTCTTTTTCTCGGTAACATTTGCAAGAGGAAATACCTCCCCCTCTCTGTATATCTGAATCCACTTTGGAAAAAAAAAATACGCGAATTATTTAACAAATTTTTAAAAAATTAAAACATTATCAGTATATTAGGAAACGATAAAATTTTTTACCCAATGCTGTTTAATGAATAATACATGTTTCAACAATTACTATAAATGTCACATGTCCCAAAGCAGAAAAAATGGAAATTATCGGATTCTGCGGCTGATTTTATTATATTTTAATAGAAGCCACTGAAACAGCCTGGATTTGTTCAAAGAAATCTAGATTTTACACCATCCGTCATTTCGTTGATAGATGCATGTAGTTTGGGAAGCAGGATAGGATTTATCGAAACCGAAACAATAAATCGTGTCTGGAAAGTTTTTGAAGCAAAAGTTATTTTTACTAGCATTCAAATATATTGTTAAAATTGTAAGTTGCTAAAAATGCCAGTAGGACATATGCATGTATATTTTATTCGCATGGAAACTATTTGTTCACGATCATATTAAAGGTATTAATCTTTTTTTTTTCATCTTTTTTCATCAAACTGCTCAGGGAATTTATAATAAACGTCATTCATTTGATATGAAATTAATTATGCTTTTACATTTGGAATATGTTTGCCGACTTAAGAAGAAAGATTGTACACATCAAATGCATGCAATCAGAATATTCACCAAAATTTACCCTGACCAAACATAACCACGATTATCTATCTTTCTGTAAAATAAGGTTAAAGGGTGACACATATAAATGGATTCTGGAAATAAAGTAATTGGATCAGTTGACTGGCAGCGAAAATTGCAAGGACTCTGGAGAAATGTCTTCTTACACTTAAAATCTAACTGAAATCCTTACCTTAGCACACAGAGAATCATATATGTAGGCCTATATGTCTAATCTACGGAAACTCACTTAGGACACCCCCCCCCCCCCCCCCAAAAAAAAAGTTTGAAAGAATTAAATCGGTCCATTTAAACGAATTCTTAAATTTGTTTCAATAAAATTGATTTCTTTTAAACAAATTCGATAATTCAGTATATTGATTTCATTCTTTCCCTATACACTTAAAATGTTTAATTTAAAATTAATTTGTTTTACTAAATTATTTAATTCGTTTAAATCATTTAATCCTTTTACAAATTTTTGAATCAAATATAACGAATATAGTAAAGCTGTATTAAGAACTTTAACAAATTTAATCTGTTATAATTCAAAATTCTGAAATAAAAATTAAATTTGTTTAAAAAAAAATTGACAATTCCTCATATCGAATTCAAAAATCCCTCCGTTATCATCATCTGAAATCTGAAATTGTTCGAATACTTATGGGTTTGGATTGATTTGGCAACCTCATGGTGAAAACGCAGTCCTAGTATATTTAAATATGTTCATAAAAATATGTTGGAAAGCGACAATTTTTTATGTAAAATTTCACATGAAATTTGTGTGAAAACTTAAAAAAAAATTGACGCGCGAACTTGTGACTAACAAAGCCGTACGCAAAATTATGCCACCATTTGTTTTATGGATATTCTAATGTGCAAATATTTCGCGTTTTGTGATTCATCAGTGCAATAAAAGTACCTCTAATAATATTTTCTAACATGTATTGATACACAAAAATATTAAACAGCGAGCAAAACGTTAATTCCCTTGATAATTGATAATTTTGACGAGTTTGCTTATAGCGATCAGGTTAAATCTATCGCTTTGATTTTGACATTTCTGCTAATTCATATTCATGCATTGGTTCAATTAATACATGTATATTCCACTGAGAATTTAAGACCATCAATCTACAAATCATTTATTAATTAATTCAATCAAGCTGACGCATCATGTCAAATTAATCTCTTACAAAGATGGGTTGGATGAAATATTCATTAGCATGTTGATTAAATTTAGACACAAAAATAAACAATCGGTAAATGTATATAATAAATTAAAATAATGTCAAAGGAATTCCAAAGACTAGCAAATTAAATTAATTAATATATCCCTGTAACAACGATTTTATTTTCGCGGCATTTCCGCTCTTCCACACTTCTTATTTGTTTGTTTAGACTATGTTATGTGTGTTACCTCCCTTTTTTGGTACATTCTTTCCGCGATTTATAAATGATCACAGTTAGAGCCTGTTGTCAAATAGATGCCAACAGTTTTTTCTCCAGAGTTCTACTAGGTAGATAATACTAACATAAAATATAAAAATTTGAATTACTTTATTTACTTTATTTAATATAAAAAATTTGAATTACTTTCGCATTTTACACTGGTCAATGATATACGTGCAAACAATTTCCATATATAATGTTTGCACGTTTCCTAACAGCGGTGAGTAAATGATTCATATATATATTTTTTGAAGAAAAAAAAATCAAAATCTGTTTTTTTTCTTTGGCAAAATTGGAATTTTTTTTTTGTGATATCACTTGATCGCCATATTTTAAAACTGTTCTTCCCACTGTTCTTTAAAACTTTTTTTTCTTCCCGAAATACATGTATCGCGCGGAAACTGTAAATGTAAATTATAGCCTCTTAACACTCGAATTATTTGTCACTGCACGAACTTTTCTCTTGGCTTTTGGGAAGTATCATTTGGGTTTTATACTAATTGATTTCCATTTACTTGTACAGTATATTTGCAAACGAATAATTATTGCAAGTCCAAATTTTTCTGAAAATAATAACAATAAAATCAGAATATATAAGCATGAAATCAGATTTAAATCAAACAAGACAAGTAAATATACATTGATAAATGGTGCAAATAGATAAAGGGAAAGTGCTTCACCTTGTAACAAGCTTCTGTGCTTGGTACACTACTAATCAAGTCTTCAGACATGAACAGAATAATTTTTATCTTGATTTGATTTCAAAAATATTATTACTATAGAATATTGATATTTTCCCTTATTTTGAGACAAAAAAGCTATATTACAATAATTTCGTCAAAACAAAGAGAAGAGGAGAGTGATGAGTGTGCCCTAAGTGCCAAGAATCCCTTGAATAAGACAGTTGCCTCATATGTTAATCTAAATATATTTAACTATGAAGAACATTTTTTGGCAGGAGTATTTGTATCCGGAGGATTTGTCTCTCGTGGGCGGAGCCAGACGCCCGCCCAAAATGGCGGGAAAGATAGGTTTGACGACGGATCGAGCTCCAGAGGACATCTAATCGACAACGCTCTCCGAGCATTATCACGTCACTGGCTGGAATGCTACTTTAACAAGACAGCAAAATACGATAGTGTCCATATACAGGCCAGGAGATTATTCAGTTTTGAAACTTATGATGTATCTGAAAATGACAATCTGTTTCTGAAAGAAGCAGACAAAGGAGCTTGGAGATTACCAATTTTGCAAAATGAGCACAAAAATAGAGAGATCGAAAGGTCATCTTTTGATCCAAGTTTTACGAATATCAAGGAGCTTAAAGTGGAAGAAGATCTAGAACCAAAGCAAAATATCCAAAGAAGTCCTGAAAAAATATCCCAAAATGAGAGCAATGAAGAAATATACAGCATTAAAAAGCGCATGCGCCGTGACGTGTTTGTACCAACCTTAGTTAGAGAGGGAATTATGAAAATTACTGATGGCATAGAATGGACGGACGATTTCCTAAATAAGTCGTCAATAGCGTACCAACAAGTGGAGGAAATGGTGCTTTCTGTGGTAATTAGTTATAAACAAATTAAACTCGAGAACTTGAGGATATTCATCATATTTTTTGTCACTGAAATTAGTTTAAAAATGCTTCCTTTAGCAACAATGCTTCTAACAGGAAATCACATAAATTTCGTTCACTTTACGTTGAATGACTTTCTTTCAGATTGACTCACTTTTTAAGAACGGACCTATTTCCAGTTACTTTCACGGTTCCTACATCAGGCAATTCAAGTAAGATATTTAATTGAAACAGATTTTAATGATTCCAAGAAAGTTTGTAGAAACTTATAAGTGTATATGCTGAACAAAAGCAGATCGTATTTCTTATGCACAGAACGGTTTATAATTTTAAATAGTATAAATTTAAGGAGATTTTTTTTGCAAGTATATATTTAACTGCACATTTGCACTAATGGCCATGTTGTATGTATCCATGGATTTAAGTATTTATCTTCTGTTTTATCCAGGAAAGGCAGCGTGATCGTGCTATTCTCTATAGAGTTTAAGAACGACACGAACATCACACATTCTGACGAGTCCATCAACACCGCCTTCCACGAGGCTCTGCTGAACGCAAGTGCTTTTACCAACCTTACTTTAGACGTCAACAACTCAATGATAGGTAAAGCATCTTTTAACTAGTGCTAATTGTAACGGGAACCGTTACAGATGTTCCCCAAACACTCCCCAACTCCTTTTTGGTGCCATATTCCCTGTAAGCTTCATTAAATAAGACAAACTCTGTGCATTTTTTACTTTAACAACGTTTTCTCACAAGGATACCAATTATATTCAAATTTTAGCATTGCACCCGTGCGCATGTGAATGCATGTGCGTTATGATCATATCATCTTGTCTACACTATCTACATATTTTAATATACAATATATTAAAGCATTCAGTCCAAAAGTATGAAAATTCACTCTTTCAAGTGTTTTTTTCTTTTCACTCGTTCCAAATGCACGCACGTGCGTGCACGTGCATGATGACCATACCTTCTTGTAGGAGTCTATTATATCTATCTATGTTCCAAACCCCATCCTGTTTGGTTGAAAACCAAGGGAGTTATAGCTATTTAAAGTTTAAGCCAATCAAATTGCAGAGCACGTGCATGCACGTGTTTTCATGATAATTGCTATATATCACGTTGTAGGATATCATAATGCATGTCTATGTTTAAAATTTCAAAGGATTTCGTCAAAAAACAAGAAAGATATTGAGACTTTAGTGTCAGCCAATCAGAGCGAAGCGCACGTGCATGCGCGTGAGATCTTGCAATTTTGACCATGTCGTCATGTCTATACTACTAATATATCCTCACATTATGAGTTTCAAAGCATTTCATCAAAAAAAAAGAAAAGTTGCGGCTCTATCTATTATATTGGTCATTTCACGTGTTGCACGTGCGCGCTCTTGCAAGCACGTGCGCACAAAATGACCTTGATTCCGCAAATCTACATAACATGTCTACTGACCCTAAAAAGGTTTTACCTACATCGGACGAACAGTTTACAAGATCATTCCCGGACAAAAAAGTACCCAGGAAGAAGAAGAAGAAAAATAATAATAATAATAACTAGAGCAAAGCTCGTTGCAAAGCAACGAGTAGGTCTTCCGTCCTGTTCGACCGGAAGTAGCTTTCATTTTCAACAAAAATGAGAAATAACGCCAAAAAATGGGTTGAATCATCTAAAACTATGTTAATTAATGCAAAAATAAGCCATTTTTTGCTACTTCCGGTTTGACCGGAAGTGACGACGACGGACGGAAAATTAATTTTTATGCTCCCAGAGACATATGTTACCCAAAAACTTCCCAAGCTCGGCAAAAATACGCATTTTCCGACCACTTCCGGTTTTGCCGGAAGTGACGACGCCGGACGTATTTTGAAGACGCCAAAAGATTAAGCTTAACATTTTGGACAACTTTGCTTCTTTGATGTATTACAGATTCTCGATACGTTTTGAGATATAAAGAAAAAACTTTCGGCCCCTCTAGGCCCTTAATTTTAGGGGCCAGCCCTTTTTACAAGATATCATTTGAAAGATCTTGGAATTCTACACTTCTTTTGTTCTATATGTTTTAACAAAATATTTCCAGGTAAAAAGCTATCGTAGAAAAGATGTTAAAAATTTTGAAATTCGCGATAGGTCTATTTTCGGGACATAGCGAGCGTCGGCGCTTCGTACTTCCGGTAGTTGTGATATACAAAAGGCACTTCTCCAAAGTTTGCTCTAGCATCCTTCAAAAATTCACACTTCTATCTTCAATGGTTTTTGAGAACATTGCCGGACAAAGTGACCCTCTAAAAATGACAAAATCGCAGAATCTCCGAACCGGAAGTGACGTCATCAAAACAAAAAAATATATATCTAGATTTTTTTATGTTCTATCATTCCTGAAAGTTTCATAAAAATCGATCAAGGCGTTTTTGAGAATTCGCGTGCACAAAATATGTAAGAAAAAAAATAATAAAAACTGTGGAAAAGAAACCTAAGAATAACAGAAAGGTCTTCCGCTGAAGACGGAAGACCTTAATAAGAAACAGAGTAAAAACAATATGTTCCCCAACTTCGTTTGGGGAACATAACTAAGAATCAATAGTTAATCAGAAGTCCCACCCTTCCTTCCTCCCCTCGCTCTCTGCTCTCTTGCGACATTTGGAAAACATTGGAATAACTAGTGCTAATTGTAACGGGGACCGTTACAGATGTTCCCCAAACGCTCCCCAACTCCCTTTTGGTGCCATATTCACTGTAAGCTTCATTAAATAAGACAACCTCTATGCATCTGAGATTTTAACAACATTAACAAAGAAGTGTACAAAATTCATTTAAACTTTAGCATTGCACGCGTGCACATGTGAATGCATTTGCGTCATGATCATATCATCTTGTCTACACAATCTATATTTTTAATATACTGAATATTAAAGTATTTAATCCAAAATTATTTTAAAAAATACGCTCATTCAAGTGTATGTTTGATTTTACTCATTTCACGTGCACGCACGTGCATACATGAGCATGGTGACCATACCTTCTTGTAGAAGTCTATTATATCTATCTATGTTCTAAATTCCACCCCGTTTGGGTGAAAACTAAGGGAGTTATAGCTGTTTAAAGTTTCAGCCAATCAGATTGCAGCACATGTACACGAACGTGTATGCATGTGCATGGTGACCATACCTACTTGTAGAAGTCCATTATATCTATCTATGTTCCAAATCCCATCCTGTTTGGTTGAAAACCAAGGGAGTTATAGCTGTTTAAAGTTTCAGCCAATCAGATTGCAGCGCACGTGCATGCACGTGTTTTCATGATAATTGCTTTATTTCATGTTGTAGGATATCCTAATGCATGGCTATGCTCAAAATTTCAAAGGATTTCGTCAAAAAACAAGAAAGATATTGAGACTTTAGTTGCAGCCAATCAGAGCGAAGTGCACGTGCATGCACGTGAGATCTTGCTATTTTCACCATGTCGTCATGTCTATACTACTAATATATCCTCACATTATGAGTTTCAAAGCATTTTATTTAAAAATAGAACAGTTGTGGCTATATCTATTATATTGGTCATTTCACGTGTTGCACGTGCACGCTCTTGCAAGCACGTGCGCGCAAAATGACCTTGATTCCGCAAATCTACATAACATGTCTACTTACCCTAAAAAGGTTTTACCTACATCGGACGAACAGTTTACAAGATCATTCCCGGACAAAAAAGTTCCAGGAAGAAGAAGAAGAAAAATAATAATAACTAGTTCTAATTGTAACGGGGACCGTTACAGATGTTCCCCAAACGCTCCCCAACTCCCTTCTTGATCCATTTTCCTGTAAGACTTTTTTAAAAATATGCTCAGTATCAAAGGATTTCATCAAAGAATTATCAATACTACAATGAAATCAACTATATCCCATTTAACGTATTGCATGCGCACGCACTTGCATGCCATTAACCTATCTTTTTATCGTGAGAATCAATCAAAATATCATAAAAATATAAATGTTACCACTTTTCGAATATTTTGGTGATTTTACGTATTGTGCATGCGCACGTGCATGCATGCATGTCCTTGCATTCAAATTTGATAGAAGCATAATTTAGGAATCAATTATACCTATTCATATTCTGAATTTCATCCCGTTTCGTTGAGAACTTAGAAAGTTACAGACATTTAAAGTTTCAGCCAATCAGGTTGCAGCACACGTGCATGCGCATGTTTTCAAGATAATTCTTTTAAATCATGCTGTAGATCTTTATAGTGTATGAATATGTTCAAAATTTCAAAGGATTTTGTCGAAAAACAAAAAAGATATTGATACTTTTGTTTCAGCCAATCAGAGCAGAGTGCATGCGCATGCGCGTGAGATCTTGCTATTTTGACTGTGTAATCATGTCTATACTACTAATATATCCTCATATTATAAGTTTCAAAGCATTTCATCAAGAAATAGAAAAGTTGCAACTATATCTATTATATTAGACATTTCACGTGTTGCACGTGCGCGCTCTTGCAAGCACGTGCGCGAGGAACATGTCATCATGCCTATAGAACTAATATATACTTATATTATGAGTTTCAAAGCATATAGTCAAAAAATAGAAAAGTTACGGCCATATCTATTATATTGGTCTTTTCACGTGTTGCACGTGCACGCTCTTGCAAGCACGTGCGCGGAAAATGACCTTGATTCCGCAAATCTACATAACATGTCTACTAACCCTAAAAAGGTTTTACCTACTTCGGGTGAACAGTTTACAAGATCACTCGCGGACAAAAAAGTATCCAGGAAGAAGAAGAAAAATAATAATAATAAAAAACAGAGTAAAAACAATATGTTCCCCAACTTCGTTTGGGGAACATAACTAGTGCTAATTGTAACGGGGACCGTTACAGATGTTCCCCAAACGCTCCCCAACTCCCTTTTGGTGCCATATTCCCTGTAAGCTTCATTAAATAAGACAAACTCGATGCATTTGAGACTTTAATAACGTTTATCCAGAAGTGTACAAAGTTCATTCAAATTTTGCGTGCACATGTGAATGCATGTGCGTAATGACCATATCATCTTGTCTACACAATCTATATATTTTTATATACTAAATATTAAAGCATTTAATCCAAAAGTATCAAAAAGATACGCTCATTCAAGTGTTTTTTTTTATTTTGCTTATTTCACGTGCATACTTGAGCATGGTGACCATATCGTCTTGTAGATGTCCGTTACATCTATCTATGTTCTAAATCCCACCCCGTTTGGTTGAAAACCAGGGGAGTTATAGCTGTTTAAAGTTTCAGCCAATCAGATTGCAGCGCACGTACATGCACGTGTATGCATGTGCATGGTGACCATGTTTTCTTGTAGTAGTCTAGTATATCTATCTATGTTCCAAATCCCATCCTGTTTGGTTGAAAATCAAGGGAGTTATAGCTATTTAAAGTTTAAGCCAATCAGATTGCAGCACACGTGCATGCACGTGCTTTCATGATAATTGCTATATATCTTGTTGTAGGATATCCTAATGCATGGCTATTTTCAAAATTTCAAAGGATTTCGTCAAAAAATAAGAAAGATATTGAGTCTTTAGTTTCAGCCAATCAGAGGAAAGCGCACGT